CTGCGCCCCGGCGCCCCGGCCCCCTTGAGGGCGGCGGCGGAGGTCGACGCGTCGCTCTTCATGGCCGGCCGGAGCCCGGCGCCTCCCGTCGTCCCCGGGGCCGGACTGAAAGCGAAGCCGGCTCGCACTTGGATCCGCGGGATCGCCGAGACCGGCGACCCCAGGGTACCCTCTCCGGCCGTGCCACCTGCGGAGTCGCCTCCGCCCCCAGCCAGGTGTGCGGACGCCGGGGCCTCTGGGAGGTGCAGTTCCCGGCACTCTGGCTGGCCGTTCTCCAGAAGGGCGATGGAGCAGGTTGGACTACAGCTCCCAGCATGCCGCTCGCAGGACCCGTCACAGCCTTGGGAAACCGCAACGTGCCAGCGAGCAGTTGTGCATCCAGGACCGTGGGCCTCTGGGAATTGTAGTTCCCAGCTCTCCGAGGTCTCGCCGCTCTCTAGAAGGGAATGGCGCAGGTTGGACTACAACTCCCAGCATGCCGCGCGCATGACTCGTCACCTTCTGGTTGAAACGCGCCGGCGCTCCAGGTTTGGAGTGGGAAATCGCGGCGGGGAGACCGTGGGCCTGAGACGGCCCGTCTGGCCGGGACGCGGGAGGCTTCGGTAGCAGGGCTCCCTTCAGCGCTTCTGCGGGAGTGGTGGCTACGAGGACGTCAGGAAGAGAGCCCAGAAAGGCACCCGGCCACTCAGGCTGAGATCGGAGGATCGCGGTTCAAAGCCAGCCCGGGCAGGAAGGCCCGTGAGACTGATCTCCAGTGAGCCACCAGAAAACCGGAAGTGGCGCCGTGGCTCAGGCCCAGGCCCTGAGTTCAAGCCCCAGGACTGACAAAACCAAAACCAACCCCCCCCTTCCCCCCAGCATCCCAGCGGCCGTGTGAGGTGCCCCACCCCAAGCCTTTTGCCACAGGAAACTCCAGAAGCAAAGCAGAGGTGCCTGGAAAGTGTGAGTCAGGCTTGGACTGAGGTTGCCAGAATGTTCCATCAGCCTGACTCGGGCAGTGTACAGTGAAGCTTGTTACTGACATAGTGATGGGAGCTGACGTTAGAACTCTGCCTTGAAGAGTCAGGCGGGCAGAGAGCAGCAGGAGATGCGCCTGGGTGCCCTAGGCAGGGCGGGGCTGCACCACCATCCCGCACCAACCCGCAGCCCCAGCAAATCCCTTGCAATTCCACTTTTACCCGGGAGATGTCAGGACAGCCCTAGAAAAAACAAAACCTTGACAGAAATTTGCTTCACAACTTAGAAAAAGAGATCTTGAAGCCATTTCATTCTGCCTGTGCAAGAGGAGACAGCACTATACACTACCTATTTCTAACCAGACAGCTTTCTTCCCAACTCAGAGCCCATGACTGCAAGCTGAGAAAGCACCTACCCTCCTCTCAGCTACTCATTTTGGGATAAAGCAAGGAGTAGAAATAGGTCAGGCCTCGCCAGTTAATAAGTCTGGACCCTAATTAATATCTTAATTGATTTGTTTCATTGTAAAGCAAATGAGCCCCTAACCCAGCCCAAGCTCTGGAACTTGGTATTTCTCCTCCCAGGTGGCAGGGTGAGGAGTCAGGATGCCACCTAAAGGCTGCTGCTGCTACTGCTGCTTCCACAGCAAAAGAAGCCTAGACTGGAAAACAGACCAATGCTTACAATCCTGGCTCCTTTTCTGTCATGGTCAAGTGATCGCTATACAGCCACCCAAGTTCTCTGTGCCTCAGTCTTCTCTTAAGACACGAATGTCATCACTTATACCCAACGCTGCTTTGAGAGGCAGAAGAAAGCTGTGACAGAGCACTGAACCCTTTTAAGCCTCAGCTCAGAATGATACTAGTCATATATTGAAGAACAACTAAGAATCTTAGTCCATCTATAGCTTCTGGAATCTTACTTTCAGACCTAGAGTCCAACTCCCCACTTTTCCGTGAAAATGTCAAAGGTGTCTTCATCTGTGGGTTCCCCAGGCCTCCCAGGAAAATGAACATCACCTACAGCTTCTCTCAAACCCCGCCCACTGGCCATGTTCCATGTGGCAATGTTCCTCAGGCAACAGATCATTCCACGAGTGAACCTTAGGACAGATAAAAGCCAAAGAGATAAATGTAGCTCCGGTGGAAAGCAACATCAAGGAGCAGGCCTCCCAGGCTCCAGACCTCTGTCACTTACATGGCATTTAACTTTTGAAATTAACTATCAGTTTTAAAATATGCTCAAGGGGCTGGGAAGGTGGCTCAGTGGTAGAGCGCTTGCCTTGCATGCATGAGGCCCTGGGTTTGATTCCTCAGCACAACATAAGCAAAAAAGAGAAAAGCTGGAAGTGGCACTGTAGCTCAACGGGTAGAGCGCTAGCCTTGAGCTGAAGAGTTGAGAGACAGTGCCCAGGCCCAGAGTTCAGGACCCACGACTGGACCCAAAAAAAAAAAAAATGTGCTCAAACACATGTTTTCCTCACTGTATTAACTGGCCTGAAGTGTAAAACCAACATGGAGACAGCAAGACAGGCCAGGCTGACCACAGATGTAGCCATCTCTGACCTTTGCATGGATTTGAGATCAGAAAGTAAGATTCAAGAACTTGGAGGTGGAGGTAGAGTATGGTTCTTCCTGCTCCTTACTGTCTTTTTAATATACTATGCCTTTTATCAGCTGTGTAGCTCTTCTTAAAAGCCTAGACTCACAGCTGAAGGCATAACTCCACGCCCTTGTTTTCTACTCCCCAAACAGATGCAGCCAAATTCTACTTCTGTATCAAAGAGCTCTGCTTCTATATGCATTACCATCACCATAATCATCCTGCAAGTGCTAAGAATTTGCCTCATTTCAATCCTCAGCAACCCCATGACAGAGGTCCTGGTATCATACTTTGTAGATGAAGGAACTGAGATACAGAGACATCATTAAGCAATTTGCCCGAGATCACACACATGTTCATAGCGTGAAAGAACTTGAAGCTGGGCACCCTAGCACCAGAGTCTTGTTAACTAATACATACCACTTGTTCCACAGGGTGCTTTTGCAATTATAGTAATTACCATTATCCCTACTTACTATGAGAAAATAAAGCTCAGAAACTCTACCCAAGCTCAAAAACATTTTAATAGCAAAACTCAAACAAAACTGAGGTTTCCCAGGACTATTGGATCCCAACACCACAAAGCCAAAAACGGAAAAAAAAAATCGTTGATAACTCTTCTTCATCTACCTTGAAAGTGACTGGAGAGCTCCCTTTAATAAGGAGAGTCCCTCCTCAGGCCATTTCTCACCAGCCAGGAGGCTGGTGACTGGCTGGTGAGTAAAACTATACTCTCCAGAAATACTGAATAACAGACAGAAAGACTGTGTTTGGGATAACTAATAGTTATACCCCACAAATAGATAATCAAGCCAATAAGTAAGATAATTATCATAGAAGGCATCAACCTCCACGTCTTTCCTGATCTTACCCAATTCAAGCTGATCACTCCTTCCTCTAAGGCCTGAGTGTGCTTTGCTTTTAATTGCCTCTCCTGTGGGTCCTTCCCAAGGTCCATGTTTCCTTTGGTTAATTTTGTCACCCCTGCCCCCACATTGATCTGTGCTCTTCCTAAAGGGAGAGAATGGGGTCTCGCTCCTTTCTGCACCCTGTGCTGTTCAGCATGGTACAGACCGCCAGCACCCAGAGCTGCGGAGGGGTTTCCTCTGCAGAGCTGCTCGGTGATACTCAGTCTCGATATTTGGGCACCTCACTGAAGGTGGAACTGAGCGAGATGGGTGGGAGTTGAAAAGATGCTGAGCTCCCAACTAGCCCCTGGGAAAGAGACGCACCTAGAAGAGTTTCCTAATATTGCTACTCCAGCCTGCCTTCCTGCCTACACTTGATTTGCAGTGACCTTCCTTATTTCCCAAGAAACAATCTAATCAACTCAGTTACTCTTAGTCAAAGGATTTTGGAATTGGAAGGAGCCTTATAATACAGTTAAGAAAACTGAGGCCCCACTTGGCAGCTGCTTCCGGAACAATAAGAATGACATGAGGTGGTTTGTCACTGTAATTCTATCTACTCAAGACACTGATAGAGTTTGCAGTTGAGGGACAACTTCAGGATAGCATCTCAACAGGACAATCTGAGAAGGTAATAAGTTCCTGTTATCCCAGATATGGAGGGAGGGAAACATAAATAGGAGGCCCAATAGCAAGACCCTATCTCAAAAATTACCAGAGGGCGGGGGGGAAGCTATAGAGACATGGTTCAAATGGTGGACCAAGTGCAAAGACCTGAATTCAAATTCCAGAACCACAAAAAAAAAGGAAGGAAAGAATGAGAAAAAAAAGAAAGAGGGGGCCTGGGAAGGTGGCTCAGTGGTTGCTTACCTACCATGCATGAAGCC